TATGGTATGTATATAGTTTCTAAAAATGTTTGTTTTGATAAAACTAGAAACCAGATTGATATTTATGAAAAAAAATTTAATCTTAGTGATCCTACTTTAATGTAAACTTTTTTAGTTTAAAAATAAATTAACATAATCATAATTTGGACCTATTATATTAAAGATTTTTAAACTTGTACTCAAATATTGAGAAGTGCAAGAGTGGATGCATTTGGGCTATGAATTACTAGTTGTTGAAAAGGTATTTGATGATTAATTAAATTAAATTGATTATCTTTGCTTTCATCAAAGTTATAATCACATATAATTAAATTTGAAAGAAGTAGAAACTTGATTAAATAATTAATAAAAGAAATTTGATGAAAATCAATTGAATCAAGTTCTAGATCCGAAATAGAGCATGCTTGATGTTGAAGAGAATTTAAAATATGTCTATTAAATACCTCTAGCTTAATTGAAAAAGATTTTAGCCTAATTTGTTTTTAGATTAATATTGTGATGATATCAATATTATCTAAATCTGGATAACCCTCTTCAAATTTTATGTATTGAATTTTTGTTGAATTATTAACTAATAGTTAAAGAAATTTATTAATTATTATATTTTTTTTTATGATATTTGGTGACTCTTTATGAATATAAAAAATTTAACAAAATTTAATTACAGCATCGATGAAGTTGTCAATATCAATATGTTTTAAATATGAAAAGTATGATAATAAAGGTGTTATTAGTAAAATATCATAATATTTTTTGATAAATTGTTTATTATCAGAAGACATTTCTTGAAAGTAGTATTTAATAACAAGATGTGTCTTCGAAAGCCTATTAAAAAAAGAATCCTGCTATAAAATCGGAGATGCTTCACTAAACTATTCAGAATTTACTTGAGTACAATAATAAAATATTTTATATTTGTATTCTAAATTCTCAAATATTTCTTTTAATACAAGTGAACGAAATATTTAACTTTGGAAATTTAACTTTCATAAGTTTCTGAGGCTAAAAATATCATTTTTTTATCTCTATTAAATCTTTTTTTTTTTTTTTTTGATAATAATATTTAACATTAAGTGTATTAATATAATTGAAAGATTTTAATTCACAAGTCAATTAAATTATGTTTTTCTTATAAATAATCTCAATTTTTATATAATTAATTTTTTGCAGATATTTAAATCCAAGAATTCAACTATATGTGATTAACTGAAATTAAAAGATCTGTATTCATTGAATTTTAATCGAAATTATCATTAGTTTTCTTTAACTTGTGTCTCTACATAAATAAAAGTTGATTAAAAATGAAATTAGACTTTTAAAAAGTTTAATTCGAAAAAAATATATCATTTATTTCAACTAAAATTAGATACTAATAAATTAATTCTGAAACCTATTATTTAGATTTTGAATTAAATTTTATAATTCAAAATTCAATTTTTAATATTTATTTAAAATCATAGGTTCTTAATAAACTTTTTGATAGCAATACCACCTCTTATAATTTTTAAAACTTTAGTGATAGTAATTAAAAAATAAAGATGAGATTTTATTTTATAAAACTTTTTGCTATCTTTAATTTTATAGTTTTCTTATCCAGTACAGTTTTTTCTGTTAATAGTCAATGTTTTCATAAAACAAATGCTGATGACACACAAAGACTTCAAAATAAATTTGAAAATTTTAATACAAAAACTCTGTGTAATATTGGCAACCAAGCTTGCATTAGAAAGGATTTTGCTCAATATGCTCAAAAAGATACATGGTCAATTATATCATGTAGGAATAGTTTAGTGTATGTTGTACTTCCTCTTACATTAAAAAATAGTACTTCTATTGCATGTGATAAGTTCAATAATAATATTTAAGTTATAAATCAGTAATTTAATAAGTTAATAATTCTACATAATGATAATGATAATAGATACAGTAGATGATCAAAAATCCAGAATTCAGAAGTCATATAATGCTGTCAAGAGCTGTTAAAAGTAGCATTCTTTCAAACAAATTTATTTAATTAATTATATTTTTTTTAATTCTATTTAATCAAATTCGACAAAGTATTAATATTCAGTTTAGATCACTAGAACCTTAATTTTTTTAGAGTTTTCTAATAATATTATATCATGATATTTAGAGTTTTGCTCTATTCAGACTTTAACAATTAGGGTTTTAAAATTAATAAATAAGTAACGCATCTTAAAATTAAATAGGATTTTTTAAATAGAATTTTTACTATGTTTAACTTATAAATCAGAAAAATTAAATAAGATTATCTGATTTTAATTTATATCTTTATTTTTGTAATTCAATATGCAAAATGAATATTTTCTAATTTAAGTAGAGATATTTAATTAAATTCATTCAAGAAAATTAAATTGATTTAATGCATTGTATTCTTTGGTTTACACTATATAAAGTCTTAGTGCAGAAAATATTAAATATAAAATTTTTTATAAAAGCTAAAAGTTGTTTGTTCAAGATATCAAAGATGTAATCTTCTCTTTTACTCTAAATATAATGAAACCTATTAAATATTTGATCCTTATTCTTTGCTGTTTAGTCATCATGTCAAATATTGCTTTCTCTGCAATCTTTCTTACTTTTTATTGCATATACTATGTTCAAAATGCAGTTTTTTTTAACACATCAATCACTAATATTGCTTTGATATCTTCAACTCAAAAAGGCCCATGTGTTGAAATTACAAGTATCAAGGAATATTCAAATGAAAGCACATTTCCTGTATCTCAAATTTCTTCTGCTCAACCATTATGTTTTAGTGATATAGCAGGTGTTAAAGATACTAGAAGTAGTTCTGTTTGGTATCTTTCACCTAAAGAATGAATTTAGTCTGGTTTAACAACAAATTCTAATTAGAATTTATCTTGTTAGTAAGCTTTCATATGTCTTATATTATTAATTAAAGAATCTATATATATACTAGTCTTTTATTAACAAATGTAGCTGTATTATTAATAAATTAATTAGTTATATTAGAAATGAATTTTGTTACAGCTGATGCTGAGATTCTTTTAGAATTAAAATTTATGTAATGAAGTTTGGTTTTAAAATTGTAAAAATATTTCTCAAATTGTTAATAAGTAGTTCAGCTTAAGGTTAAATATAAAAATATTTTTAATATATATGAGTTTCTAAGTAAAGTTGTAGTTCTCAGTAATAATTTAAATATCTACTTACAGATTTTTGCTTTGTAGTATTCAAATTTCTAAATGTTACATTTAAGTAGCTTAGTATAGTGAACTTGTCTTTTTATAATCCATAATCATTAATTCAATTAAATGGTTATATGTTAGTGATTAAATATAATATAATTTATTAAATATTGAATATAAAGTGGTACTAGAAGAAGCCAAATTTTGTATTATAAATTTAAATTATGGCCAAAATGGCTCTTGAGTGAGAATAGGTTTCACTAATTAATAAGACTAATTTTAATACAAATCAAATCGTTCGTGAATTATCTTTATAAAACTTAAACCAAACTATTAATAGTTTAATTCTTGCTCATATGACTAATGAATAACAGATTTTATAATTTCATGATTTAATATTATAACACATGATATTGCTACACAAACAACTAAATTTAATGTTCAAAAAACAATTTGATTTGGATCTTCTACTTCTAATATATCTAGAATACTAATAATATCTAAGAAAGCAGCTACACTAATACGTATAACAAACTAAAAAAGAATAGCATAATTTTGCTTTCTTGATTTATCAAATAACAAATTAGAATTGAAAGAATTAAACTTAAATGAATATTTGTTTTTTAGCAAAATTTGAAAAAATCTAAATGCAACAAAGATTTCTATGACAAAATCAGTAGTTATAAAGCCTAAAATAGCAATAGAATTTTCATAAAATGCTGAATTACATGCAATTTGAATTTTCAAACTTGAATTTAATGCAGATCTTAGATGAAGAAATAAAATCTGTGCAAACTAATATATAAGATATAAATTAGAAATTTAATCTGAATTTTAAGATTTACAACAGTACTAACAATTATCTGAAATAAAATCCTTGTTGTCAAAAGCACTAAACTAATTATATTATCAGATATACAATCTTGGTTAATTTTTTTTAATATCCATAATAAAAAAGATACTAATGAAGTTCAATATATAAGATTTATAATAGTATATATGTAGCCAAGAATTTCACAATTTGAAGCTAAAAAGAGATAAATAAAATTAAAAGTAAATTTCAATCCACCAAAAAAATTGAAGACCAATTTAAAAAAATATGTAATTTTAGTTTTTTTGCGATACTGAATTAAAGTTACTAGTGAGTTATGATAAAATATTGCAACTTCCAGTTCAGATAAAAATGAAATATACAAAAATAGTTCTAATTCTGATAACATTTTAAACAGAATGTTCTAAATTAAAATTTTCTACTTAAATATTTATTCTTCAACTAGAAATTATTTTGATTGTATTATATTTAGCATTATATTGTTAAAATATATTATAATCAATTATGTTTTTTTATTGAATGAAAAATAATATAATAAATTTAATATTAAGTTTGCTAAATGAATTTTCTTGATAAAAATGTCTCATCTGATATTAATTCAATTAGAAAAGTTACATTTTTACTGCTAAAAATGAACTTGGAAACATAAACAGACAAAATAATAAAAAGAATTATGCAAGAAATAAATTACAGTTTAAGAATAATAAGGAATAATATTCCTAATAAATTATTTCAAAATTTGATAATAAAAAAAAATAATTTCTCAATATGAATGATAGAAGCAACTTAATCTGTAAATCCCTCGTACCAAATTTTCTCAAAAAATTTTCCAATAAAACCAAATTTCTTCAAAATTTTATTAAGTAAACCAAGCAAGTGCTCTTAAGTAAACTTGCTCTACACACAA